AATCCCATTAGCCCATCTAAATCCAACTTCATAGTATGGACTATGGTTCTGAATAAATGTTTGTCTAAAGCTAATTTTGTGAGAAGGGGCATTCAGCTTTTGGACCTTTCGTGCAGTCTGTGTGGGAACAATTCTGAATCTACTGATCATCTGTGCATTCATTGCCCGTTCTCTTCTCAGCTGTGGAACCACTTTTTCAGCTCCATGAACTTAAGATGGGCTATGTCAAGATCGGTAAAGGAGCTTTTGTGTTGCTGGAACATCAAAGGGCTTAACAAGAAAAGGAAGATAGTGTGGAAGACCATTCCTAGTGCTGTCTTATGGTCCATCTGGTCTGAGAGGAATAGTAGGCTTTTCTGTAATAAGGCCTTAAGTCCAGAAGATTTAATCCAGAAAGCTGTAGCAAAGTTAATCTCTTGGGTATCAGTCTCTGAGGAGTTCAGAAACTGTAATTGTCTGTTGTTTTTCATTCCAGTTCTTGGTGGAGTATGTAATTGCTGAGTTGAATAGTCTGCCTTTCTGGGACTGATCTCAGCTTGTATGTGCAGCTTTTGATTCAATAAATATTACGTTTCCATTTTCCAAAAAAAAAGAAACCAAAGAATTGTCCAAAAAAATAGTTATGAACTTGATGGAATTTGGTGGATAATAGTACCTTCCCTTTATTCTTGGATGTTAGTTTTTCTCACTGTAAAGCCTTCTTGGGAGGGTTTCCCCTTTTAATGAAACTATAATTTGTCTTCTCTCAAAAGAGATCGATAAATAAATCATATGAATGAGAAAGGAGAGATAGGTCCATGCAAGCACTGAGGTGATAGAATTATGATTTGAGGAAAATAAGCAGTAGCACATAAAAACAGAAAAAAAAATAGTAAAAGAAAAGACATTGAGTATCAACTAAAAAAGGACAAAATGATATTCAATGAAAGGGGAAAAAAGCTTGGCCTAAAGTGTATTTTTATGGGGGATTTTGGTAAAGAAATTAATTCAAGCATCCATTCCATCAATTAGAAGAAAGCAGATCAAGATAAATGAACTCCTATATGGCACATATCTGATTCAACAAACAACATATTTCAGCTGATGATATTTATCAATCTGTGATAACGGGTTTGGCTTAAAAACTTCAAGAAATGAGAAAAGGATAAGAATCTAAGTTTACAATGAAAGGAAGTAATGTATTTGCCTCATACGTCTAAACTGAACTGAAAGAAATGGAGGGAAAGGAAAAAATAAAAATTAGAAAAAAAGAAGAAAAAAAAGCATAATGCCTCTCAAGCACGCATCAACATTCAGTTCAAGCCTCTAGTAGAGTATCAACAGTTCAACACGTTCACCTCACTGATTCGATTTGCAATTCAAGGATCCAGTGGTCAAACCCAATCCAATCATGTAAATGGGTCTATACTCTCTAATCTTCTCGGGCTTTACATGATTATGTATTAAAACAACCCTCTAGTGACAATGTAGGTTTTCATGGCTGGACACATTTTAACATGTATATGGGTCTTACATGAAGCACCAAGCATCATCAAAAGCAACCCAAAATACCATACGAGAACCTGCTTCTTGGCTTATTACCAAAAGCTATTACTCATAAAGAGAACTTCAGATATCACTGCCTCTTTGGAATAGGCAAGCTTAAAATGTTGAAAGAAAATGGAACTTAATGGTCCAACCTCCCACAATTATTGGACTATCCTGCACCATATCTAACATATGGGTTATAGGATGAATTGAGGTTGAGGAGAATGACTGATTGCCAATCTGTATGCATGAAAGAGTGCATCTGTCAAAGATTTAAACACAAGCAAATTGGGTTCCAAGGAAGCATTGTCCCCTATACCATATATTTTGGACCAGGAGAAACAAGGAGACTTGGGTGGACGCATCTGATCTCCGATTCTCCATGTTTAGCATAATACCTGAATAAGCAAAGACAAGTATGCCTTTCCAAAGATTTCTTCTCATTGTAACTTAATTTACAATCAAAGGCTCACTTATCATAACAAACAATTTTAATGAAAATTGAAGGCAAGAAACATGGGAGAGATGTACATATTTATTGATAGAATTGATTTGGCTTTGGGTTCTGTTTTTCGTTCTGATATTGGTAAATGAACATACAAAAAATCAATGACTGTATGTTATCCAAATCTCAGGTAATTTTCTTGCTACTAGGTGTCTTTTTTTTCTTTAGAGGATAAAAAGGGGTTTGATCTCTCCATTTTAATTACTGAAAGCAGATTGTCTCTCCTTCTACATCCAGTCGTGTAACTCGGAATGCCTAAAATCAGCAATTGCTATGACGATACTATCTACTAAATCAAAAACATCACCAACTAGGGATAAAATTTCTAGAAAGAGGAATGAACTCACTTGGAAACAGAGCACTCTTCGAGATGCTTTACATTCTCTTGGCCACCCATCTCACTGCATTCTCTTTCGCTCTCTCTGTCCACTGTCTAATTAGGGGTGGCAATTTGACCCAAACCCATTTAACCGACCCAACCCACCCGCTTGAAACCCATCCGTTCGAACAGTGGGTCGAATGATCTATTAAGTTGCGTTTGGTTGCTTGCATTGATGCAAAACCATGGTAATTTAAATGGTTTGGGTCCAAATTTCTGAATTTTTTTTTTCAAATTTTACCTTATTTTATTTGATTTCAGTATAAATGATGTAAAAGGAGACCTAAACTTGAAGCATATTAAAGTAAAACCAAATATAATATATTCAAGCTACGGCCCCTCACCATTTAGACACATGGCATTTTCATTTTTCTATAAATCTATATACGTGGCAATTTTTGAGAAATTCTTGATAAAGCCCACAACCCACTACCAGACTATAGCCCCCCACCATTTAAACATGTGGCATTTTCATTTTTCTAGAATGATAGGCATGTGGCATTTTCTAAGAAATTGGTGTTAAAACCCACAACCCACTACCATCATTTAGTATGGTGTTATCCTATTAATTTAAGAAATATGATTCAAAAAGTTGTTAGTTTCATTCCTAAACATTCTCAATAGATAGTTATTTATTAGCTTAACACATGTTTAACAATAGTTTATTAAATACAAATGGTGGGACCTATTAAAAGATTACCATAAACATATATTTATTTTTAAATGATTATTCTTCAAAAAGAAAATCTATATAAATATATTAAACTGAAATGTGTATGTAAAAAGGCATAAGGATGAGGAAAATGGAACCTAACACTATTTTTTGCCTTTTTTTTCTTGGAAATTGCAAAATGACATTCTATACGAACTCTCTCATTTGCTTTTGTTTTTCTTTCAAATTACAAGAATACCACTCTCTTACCAATTCTCTCTCTCTCTTGCCTTTTTTCTTTTAAATTACAAGAATATCACTCTCTCTCTTGCTTTTTTCTTTCAAATTACAATAATGTCACTCTCTCCTACCAACTCTCTCTCTCTCTCTTTTCTTACAAATTACAATAATGCCATCTCTCTCCTTATAAATTATAAGAATGCCACTCTCTCTCCAACTGAAGGAAATCTCAGCTTAGCATCTCGACTGCTAGGGGACCTACAATTGAGGGAGAGACCTCTACTCGAAACATCAACTACTTGAGAGAAATCAAAGGTAGCCAAGCTCGAACTTTCGATCTTTTGACTCGAGCCAAGCTTGAACTTTCAAGCTTTTGACTCGAGCCGAGCTCGAGCTCAAGCTCAAGTCTTTAATTCGAATCGAGCTCAAGTCTAATAGTTTATGAGCGAGCCCCAACATGAGAAGCCAATAAATGGAATCTAATAGTAAATTATGCTTTTTTTTCCTTTCAAATTACAATAATGCCACTCTCTACCAACTCTCTCTCTCTCTTTTGCTTTTTTTCTTTCAAATTACAAGAATGCCACTCTCTCCTACTAGCTCTCTCTCTCTCTCTTGCTTTTTTTCTTGCAAATTACAAGAATGCCATCCCTCTCTCTCCTTATAAAATACAGGAATGTCACTCTCTCTCTCTTTCTCTCCAACTAAGGGAGACTTTAGCTCGACATCTCAGTTAATAGGGGACTTGCAATCAAAGGTAGTCGAGCTCGAGCCGAGCCAAGCTCAAACTTTTCAGCTCAAGCTCAAGTCTCTAATTCAAATTGAGTTCGAGTTAGATGATACCTTGACCACTGAGGGAAACCTCGGCTCAGCACCTCGATCACTGAGGGAGATCTCGGCTCAGCACATCGACAACTAAGGGAGACACCTCAGCTCACCTTGTCAACTAAGGCTTGTTTGGTTTGAAGGAAAGAGTAGAGAAACCTTTACAAACTTTGTATAGGTTTTCCTAATTTTCCCTACTCTTTCCTTCAAACCAAACATAGCTTAAGGGAGACCTTAGCTTGACACCTTTCCTGCTAGAGAAACCTTAGCTTGACACTTCAGTAGTTGAGGGAGACCTAGGGTTGTCACCTTAGCAATTGAGGGAGACCTCGTCTCGGAAGCTCGATTAATTGAGAGACCTACAATCAAAGGTAATCAAGTTCGAACTTGTAAACTTTTGACTCGAACGAAGCTTAAGCTCGAACTCAAGTCTCTAATTTGAATTGAGCTCAAGCCTTATAGTTTATGAACAAACCCCTACTGCTAGTATTTCATTAACTACAAACTTGATTTAACTTTTAAGAAGCAATCTAACTTAATTTTTAAAAATAAATAACTCAAAATATGTTTATTAGATAAATAATGAATACTAAATAAAATGAATTATTATTTATGAATAAAATCTCATTTAATATATTAAATCAAATTAAAAAATAAATTAATAATATTTTTTAAATAAAATAAGTCAGAATAAATTATCAATTACAAAGATGCAAAACCTATATTAATTTTTTTAATTTAATTTTTGATAACTAAATGTAAACTTTAAACACACATTTAGGACGGGGTCATTATCTAGTTCAAAATTAAACAAAATTTGGACCATAATACATTTGTATTAATGCAAATAGAATTACACTGCAATCAAACGCAGCCTTGGGTGAGAGTGGAGTTGGGTTGAGGGGTACCCCATTGGGTCGTAAAGGGTCGGGGTCAGTTAGGTGGAGGACAGAGTCGAGAGAGAACACTGCAAGTCGGAACAGTCGAACAGAGTTCTCCAAGTTTTTTCTCAGTTCTCTGTTCCACCATTGAAGCTGTTAGGGTCGAAATCTATTAGGACCTAGAATCTGTTCCTTCATTGAAGAATTAGTTATAGGTTATTCTCTCAGTTCTCTGTTCCACCCGTCACCAAATGGAGGGCAGGGTCGAAAGCTTCTAGGGTTTCAACGCCGCTGTTTCGCCTTTGAAGCTGTTAGGGTCGAAGTTTTTTCTCAGCTCTCTCAATTCTCTGTATGTTCCTCCATTGAAGCAAGTTTTTTCTCTTATCTTCAACGCCGTTGTTTCTCAGAGTTCTTAAGTCACGTGTAGATCGGAGCTTTGGATGGGTAAATCTTTGGACATTGTTCACCTTCTTTAATTTCATAGTTGTTATATAGTGATTGCATACTGAAGTAGGAAATAAAGATGGAATCGTCTTATTTATCTCAAATCACCGCTGTTTCTCAGTGTATGGTTTCTAGTTGCTACCTGGCATTTGATTTCAGGTTGAAGAACATAAAATTTCAGATAGAAGTTCAAATTTTAATAATGAAATAATTATTTTAGTAATTAAAAATTATGAATTTGCATATGATATATTTTATAAAAGTTAACAGAGTTGATTTATTTGGAGTAAAAATTATATATTTTTATAAATCGTTAAATGATAATTGAATTTATATTTGAGAATTTAATATTTGGTTAACCTTTTTATTAATGTTAAAAAGTAAAACACACACACACACACACACACACATATATATATATATATAAAATAGCCGGGTGAATGGGTACCCATGTCAACTAAAACTGGGTATCGGATACCCTAAAGTCTCAAAACCCATTGGGTCCTAATAGGGTTGGGATGGGTCGGATACCCAAAAATTCCTGTGAAATTGCCATCCCTATTTCTGCATTTTCTTCATTTTCTGCATAATTTCTGCAACCTCTGCAAATTTCTTCATTTTCTGTAATACTTCTGCAATCTTTATGCATATTTTCTTCTGCAATTTCTGTAAATTTTCTGCATTTCTGCAATTTCAGCAATGGTTCTGCATTTTTCTTCATTTTCTGCATATTCTTTTTTTTTTGCAATTTTCTTCATTTTCTACAATTTCTGCAAAATTTCTACTTCTTTTTTTAGTTTTTTTTAATTTTTTTGATTGGAAACAGTAACTCTCATTAATTCTTTAAGAAACTTAGTACAACTGTCACCTTCAAAAAACAAGGTGACCCCTCCACAGATTACAAACAGGCCCAAAAAAGGTTGCTAAAGTATCAACCATTGCATTGGCTGATCTCCTACTCCATTTAAACTTGACTTTAAGCTCCCTTGTTAGTTGCATAATCTCCCTTACAGGTTGTCTAAGGGACCAGGTGCCTAAGCTGTTTGTTTGCATCCAACCTATTACCATTTTTGAGTCTCCTTCCACTTCCAACTGTTGAAAACCCTGCTGTTTAGCTAGTTTGAACCCTTGTAGGAGTGCCAAAACTTCTGCTCTAAGAGAGTCCTCCAGTCCTATCGGGCCAGAATAAAGGGCCAGGACATTTCCTCCCCCATCTCTAAAGACACCCCCAATTCCAGAGGGGCCTGGATTACCTATAGAACTGCCATCAAAGTTTAACTTAACATCCAAAGATAACGGAGGCGACCAGTCCTCTCAAATAGCTAAAGAGGGGCAGGAAGAAGCTGCTACCGCACTCCACCCTCTAATTAAGTCATCTACAGAGAAGTCTCTGAACAGATCCAGCGATTTCAGCCAATGTATGGTCTTGATGGTGATCCCTTCTATGACTTCATGTGCTGATTTTTCTTTCCCTTGAAAGATTTTGTTATTTCTCTCTTCCCACACTGCCCAAACAACTGCTGCCCTCGTTGCTCTCCACATTATCCTTCCTCTTTTCTTTGATTGATGAAAAAAGCTAGATTCAAACCACGCTTGTAGGAAGAACTCACCTACACCCAAAGAGAGAGGAAAACCAATCCCAAATAAGAGTAACAAAAGGACAAGATATTAGTAGATGATTTACCGTCTCACCACTCTTCAAGCAAAGGCTACAAACATGAGGAGATAAGAACCAATTCGGTCTTTTTTTATTTTTATTTATTTATTTATTTATTTTTCTGAAGCAAGTTCAAAGTGTTGATTTTTTGGAGAACCACTTCCCAACAAAAAGCCCTCACCTTTGGAGGTACAAGAGCACTCCACACTTCTTTTATAGGAAAAGAGTAAACTAAATTGGAAGAGTGCACTAAAGCATTGAAGAAAGAACAACATGAAAAACAACCAGAGGACTCTTCAGATCAAATTCTATTATCAAGACAAGAATGATCCAAAAACACTGAATTTAAAAGGGAGAAAAGATCATCTATCAACCCTATTTCTGACTCCCTCAACCCTCTCCTGAACTCTAAATCCCACACCTCATTAGAAACACGAAAGGTAGAGATAACTTTAAATTTGTTCAAGGACAAGGAGTAGAGGGCCGGGTACCTATCCTTAAGAGGCTGGTCCTCAACCCAAACGTCCTCCCAAAAAAGGACCTTATTACCCGAACAAGCGTCATACTTGATGAAAGGAGAAAAGGTGGGTAAGATACCAACAATGTCTTTCCATAGAGGGGAACGAAAAGCCCTTGGGTTGATACCAGCATCTCATCCATTTGCTGCCAATCCATGTATACTTTCTGTCACTCTATGCCACAAGCTTTCTTGCTCCTTGGGAAATCTCCACAACCACTTACCTAAGAGTGCTATGTTTCTTAGACGGATATTGCCAATCCCTAAACCCCCTTTGTCTTTTGTCCTAGAGACCATTTCCCACTTCACTAGGTGATCCTTTTTTGACTCCCTAGGTTCCCAGAGGAAATCTCTCATTACTTTTTCCAATTGATTTGCCACCTTGACAGGCACTGTGAAGGTAGACAGGAAGTACACTGGCAAATTTGCTAAAGTTAACTTAATTAAATTGATTCTACCTCCTAAAGAGATGTAATTCCTCTTCCACCCTGTTAGCCTCTTTGTGAATCTTTCCAAGACTGGGTACCTGAGACTTTTTGACTTTGGGTTCCCCCCAGGGATAAACCCAAGTATTTTATAGGCCAATCACTCCACTCATAGCCTAACAACCTAGCCAAGGAAGACACCTCCTTATCTGATCTATTAACCCCAGCCACACAACTTTTATTCCAATTCACTCTCAAATTAGAGACCTTTTCAAAACCTTCTACCAACAATTTTAGATTGATCATCTCCTCAGGTTCTCCCTCACAAAAGATAATTATATCATCTGCAAACTGTAAATGAATAACTACTACTTCTTGCCTCCCTACTCTCCATCCATGAAAAATATTTCTGGAGTCATCTTTGGAGATCATAACACTCAAAACATCCACTATTAAGGTAAAAAGGAAGGGGGAAAGAGGGCCCCCTTGTCTTAGACCTCTCTTTGCAGGGAAGAAATCCCTAGCTACCCCATTCACCAAAATAGAGTAGTGGCATGAAGTCACACAACCTTTTACCCATCTACACCACTTTTTTCCAAAACCTCTGTTTCTTAAAACTTCTAATAAAAAATCCCAATATACCAAGTCATAAGCCTTTTCCAAATCAAGTTTGCAGATCAACCCCTTCTCTCATTTTCTCTTTTTTATAATCAACACACTCATTAACAATAAGGATTTGATCCGTGATTTGTCTCCTAGACACAAAGGCTCCCTGGTTTGGAGAGATCAGATAAGGAAATACCTTTTTAATTCTTGAGGCTAACACCTTAGAGATGACCTTATATATGTTGCCAATCAAACTAATGGGTTTAAAATCCTTTGGGTGTCTTGCTTCCATCTTTTTGGGGACCAGAGTTATATAAAAGTAGCATTAGCACCTGAATTAATCCTCCCTCTCTCAAAGAATTCTAAAAACACCTCCATTAAATTCTCTCCTATGATTCCCCAATAGTCTTGTTAAAAGGCCATCGTGAATCCATTTGGACCTGGGTTTTTAGATCTTTCCATTGAGAAAATGGCATCTTTGACTTCTTGGATTTCAAAATTTCTTTCCAATTCCTCCATTAGTTCTCTACTCCCTATTTGTCACTGAAAATCAGAAATGTCCTCTCTCATCCTGTTAGGACTGTCATAAATGGTTTTAAAGTGGTCTACAAACGCTATCTCTTCCTCCCTTGTAAGCACTTCTCCATTCCATTCCAACCTCTCCACAGTGTTCTTCCTCCTCTTGCCATTTGCCAGGGTATGAAAAAATCTAGTATTTCCATCTCCCTCCTTGAGCCATTTGCATCTAGACTTTTGTCTCCAACTTACCTCTCTCATCCACAGTGTTCTACTCTTAATCTTCTCTTTGCTTCCTCTATATCAATTTCCTGAATCATTTTAGCAATCCATTCTTATCTCTCTTCGACTTTTCCAAACTCCTCTTTGTTCCACTCTTTGATCATAGCTTTTAGAACTTGTAGCTTTTTGTAGAATCTATAACCTTTCCATTTGAACTCCACTTGATCTTCTTCCCACCACTGTTGTACTTTCTTTAGAAATTCAGGATGAAGTAGCCACATGTTCTCAAAACGAAACAGACAAGGTCCTCTTCCTAATTTCTCTTGTGAGAGCCTAATTGGACAATGATCCGAAGTTGGTCTAGGAAGTGCCCTTACTACCATTCTCCTCCAAGCAGTCCCAATCTGCAGAGAATAAGAATCTATCTAGCTTACAACACAGGGGTTCTTCTTGAAAGTTGGACCAAGTGAAACTGGCTTGTAGCATGGGCAGCTCTCTCTTAGCTCAAAGGACTCCACAAGAAGGTTGAATTTCCACATGCTAGAGGTGATCCTATGGCTATGGTTCGTTGTTTCATTCAGAAATCTAATGACATTAAAATCTCCCGCCAAACACCAAGGCCCACTCCAGAGACCCCTTATGGCTACCGGTTCTTCCCAAAATTCTTCCCTTTCCTTGTATAAATTTGGACCATAGACATCAGTTAAAGCCCATTCTAACCCGTCCTGTTTCCTCCTAAACTTCACTGCGACTGTAAAGTTGCCGATCAGTTCTTCAATGTAGACCATGTCCTCATTCTTCCAAATTGTTAGGATGCCTCCTGAGGCTCCCCACGACTGTGCACAAGCCCAACTTAAACCTCTAGCTGACCACAAACTTCTAACCCATCTTCTGTCCACCTCTTCCAACTTTGTTTCTTGAATTTGAACAATATCTGACTTTTCTTTTCTAAAAACTTTCTTAATCACCCTTCTTTTTCTTTGACTCCCCAACCCCCTAGCATTCCAACTGATTATTTTCATGAGAAAATCAGATGTTGAGACCCTTGAGGTTTTTC